AAACAAACCTAAGGCAAACATGTTCAAGGCCAGGCTGGATGAGCCTTGAGCAACCTGATCTAGGGAGGAGGTGTCCCTGCCAGGGCAGGGAAGGTTGGGACTAGATGATCAGCAAGGTCCATTCCAACCCTTAAATTGAATGATACTATGATTCCAGATCTGGCTAAATGTGGGGGAGAAATCACTGACAGCACAGGTTTGTTCTGTGTCCTCTTGAGGAGAACATGTTCCCCTCTCTGTATTCCATGGTCAGAGTTCTGTTAGAAGTTTTCAGTGTGGATAAATCTTCACCCCACAAAACATGAGAGTGGATGAGAGAGGAGGTTTACTTATTTGCTGTCTTGGCAAATACCTCAGCAATCTTCATTCCATGGGAAAATTGGCTGCTGGGATTGATTATAAGGTTGTTGCCACATTGGTAACAATGTCTGGATTGTATAACCCAACTTGTTCACAGCTTAATTTGCAAAGTGTTGAAATTTTGATCTTGTTAAAGTAAAAGAAGGGAGATGGAAATTTCTAGTTTGCAAAATCATGTTTCCAACCATTTCTGTGCCAGAGTCGGAAATTCAGAATTTTTTTTTTGCAACACCTTAGAACTTTGCAGTGATATTAGTCACCTACACAGCCAGGTTAAATAACTCAAACAGTTTGCCAGTCTTGTATTTCCTGTTATAAGTTTCCAAATTAACTTTCCCTAGTGAGATTTAATCCTCTGGATCTTTAGGGTCCAAAAATCTTTTGTCATCTGGCACTTCTCTGAGTTTTTGGTCATCTTTAGCTACTGCCATTTCATTTTACTGTTGACTAGTTTAATTCTTTCTCTTCCAGCATGGATGACATTAAATCCTGTCTACTAATCTGAACAATGGATTTCTCCTTTTGGAAAAGAAAAGAAATAAAAAAAAAACATTAAAGAGGATTTAGATGGAACAATTTAAATCTGTCTCCCTCTTGCTATGGAATGCTGTAAATGAATTTTTGCCAGACAGGAAAGTCTGGTGTTAATTAAAACCCCCCAAATCCCAGCCTAGTTAGCTGGCAGGGAGGCAGCATTTTTGGACTGGTGCTGGCTGTTGTATTCCTGGTTTCTGTGGAGTCAAAGAGATTTATGAGGAGCTGCATTTCATTGTGAATTCTGCATGGTGTGTGCAAACACAGGAAACCAAAGGCAGTCTGATTTTGCTAACAAACTCTGATGCCTGGCAAGTTCAGAAGTACTTGGTGATGGAGCTAACCTGGCAAGAAGGAACAGGAATGTAGCTCCTAGGTATAATCCATTATGGAAGGTCTTTATTTCTAGGTATTTTTCTTTCTTCTATTTCTTCTTTTGTTTTAGTCACATCTATCAGGGACTTTGAAGCTTCACATTGCCAGGTTAAATTATTCAACAGATTCCTTGCTTCAGGTCAGATTGCTTTGTGCTCTGTGCTTTGCAACTCACCCCTGTTTGTTTATCCTTAAATACAGTAGTCCCAGTATTTCCTTGCTAACAGCTCAGCACTTGGCTCTAACTAATGCATATTTGCTAAACCATAATTTTAAGTGTTGTTGCAATGTTATGAAAAGGTTCTATACTCTGCAGCAGCAGATGGCTGCTTCATTCCAAGTACCTGAATATAAATGGCAAATCTGAACCAGCACTGTTCATATACAACATTGAATTTCCTTTCTCATTCTTCCCTTCTTGACATAACATTTGGGCATTAGGAGGCAGAAAACCCAACTCTTTGTGGCTAAATTAGCTGAGAAGGACCCTAATAGAAGTCAGTATATCATTTGATCTTTCTTAGACTGATTGTCCTCTTGTTTTATTCCAATGAAAATACATGGGGTGGGTAAGGGACATGTATAATTCAACATATTGCAATAAACTTTACCAAATGTATGTGTGAAAACACATTCATGAGTCTTAAGCCACGTCCACTTAATGTGCTGGGAAAGAAGCTGAACAAAATCTGACTAAAGTGTAGAAGGAATTGTGTTTATATTGCAAGGAACAGAAATCAAAGGCTGATGTCAGTGGCAATTTTGCAAGAGAGACAAATGAGCATTTTTAGTATTATTTGTTTGTTGATTTTTTCCTTAATCATCTTTTGCTAAGCAGTTAAATGAAAGCAGAGCAACACATTAAAGTTAATTCTCAATTCTTCACATTTTTCTAAACTTTAGCTTTCTTGCAAAGATTTTTTTTTTATCCAAAAAATTGCTCAAAAAAAATTTCCCACCCAAAAAAAAAAATCACAACTAATTTCTCCTCATTTCCTGGCAATGATTTAGTACCACAGTGCTCAAGTGCAATCTCAAGTTACTTAAACTTCATTGTTTTGCAAAATATTCTCCAGTATTTACAAGTTAGGAATAATACAATCCATAATTAAAGCTTCATTATACTTGACAAGTGAAGGAATGAAGTGCAATTTGTGGTGCATTGCTCAATCTTTGCTTGGGGGGTTGGTTTTTTTTGCTTTATTATGATTTCTCACAGCTTTTAAAACCTTTTCTTTCCCCTCCTTCTTCAGTTATTCAACTATTTGGTATATTCTAGAATTCACAGTGGGACTCCCAGGCTTCATTGCAATTTGATGTGATTCTATGGTATTCTGGGATTAAATGTTATGCCAGTTGTATTCTCATAGCAAACTTCAGTAGAAGAAAATGGATTCATTTTGCACCATCTTCTAAATCTGCCAGTAGGGAAACTGAGTTCTTTAAAAGTGTCATGGAAGCAAACAGACCTTTTGGCATGATCATGGAATCATAGGATGGGTAAGCTTGGAAGGGGCTACAGTGGGTCATCTGCTCCAGCCTCCCTGCTCAAGCAGAGTCATCCTGGAGCACATGGCACAGGATTGTGTCCAGACTGTTCTTGAACATCTGCAGTGAGGGAGAATCCACACCCTCTCTGGGCAATCTGTTCCAGTGCTGGGTCACCCATACAAGAAAGATCTTCCTCATATTCAGGTGGATCTTCTTGTACATCAGTTTCTACCCATTGCCTCTTGTCCTATTGCTTGGTAACACCAAGCAGAGCCTGCTCCAGCCTCTTGACACCCTCCTTCAGATACTTATAGGGTTCCATCTCAGTTGTCTCTTCTCCAGGCTGAACAGGCCCAACTCTCTCAGCCTGTACTCATAAGAGAGATGTTTCAGTCCCTTAATCATCTTCATAACCCCCTGCAGGAGCCACTCCAGGATCTCCATGTCTCTCCTGGAGTGAGGAGCTCAGAACTGGACACAGCACTCCAGATGCACCTCACCAGGGCTGAGCAGAGGGGCAGGATCACCTCCCTCAACCTGCTGCCCACACTGCTCTTCATGCAGCCCAGGGCATGGTTGGCTTTCTGGTTTGCTAGTGCACATTGCCAATTCATGTCCAATTTTTCCTCCCTCAAGTATTCCCAAGTCCTTCTCTGCAAGACTGCTCTCATTTCATCCCCCACTCTGTACAGATGCTGGGGATGTTCCCAATCCAGGCACAGGACCTTCAATTTGTCCTTGTAGAACTTAGTGAGGTTGAATTTTTTTCAGTGCATCTTTCCAGTCGAGTACCTAAGAGAACTACTGATGGAGAAATAGATTTAACTATGATTTCTGAGCCAATTTTACAATAGTTTCATCTAGACTGTGCTTTCTCTACTTGTGTATTTGTCATCTGCAGCTTTTCCCCTCCCTCAGGTGTGTTGTCCTGCCCTAGAAAGGTACTGAGTAGCTTTTGACAAATGCATACTTTTTGCTGCTAATTCTCCTACTCTTGGGCTCCTTGGCCTCCAGGGCACACTGCTGGCTCATGGACAGATTATTATCCACCAGGACCCACAGGTCCTTCTCTGTGGAGCTGCTTTCTGACATCTCTAGCCAGATGGACTAGAGTTGCAACAGGACCCAAGCAGATAAACTAATTACAGTGCCATTAGTATCAGGAGAAGCAGCTTCTTAGGAAATGTTTTCAGTGCTTTAGAAAGCATCCAGTGCTGGGCTCCCTACTGCAGGAGTTCCATGGACATACTGCTTGCCAGACAGTCTGTGGAGTCTCCATCCTTGGAGACAGACAAAACCAAGTGGACATGGCCCTGAGGAACCTGCTTTAATTGTCTGCTCTGAGAAGGGGTGTTGAGCTAATGACTTCCAGAGATTCCTGCCAATTTCCATGTTTCTGTGATTCTCTGATTTTTATAGCTTAACAAAATGCATCCTGTTTGAGTGTCTTTTTTTCTGCTCTGCTAATATTGCCTTACTGGTTGTGCATTTAGCAGTGTCTATATTATTATGTCTATTATTGCTAGATTAATTCTTTTTATAAGGCACAGTGTCATATGAAGCCAACATATGCTCACATTTGCTCTTTTATATGGTAAGTGATCAGAAATGAAGGAAACAAACTCATGGATAATTTGCTGTGTTTTCACTGAGACAATTTCTGTGCTGTATCCAGTTTCTGCTTTTTTTTTTTTTTTCCCTACTTGAAAACTTATATATGAATCTGTTCCTCAAACAGCTCTTTCCTTATTGCCTTAGCAATAAGAAGATTTCAAATTCAGTAAGTTTGTGATCATATCTCTATCAGTTTATGAATAGTCCTTTGTCAGATGGATGCTGTGCTGAAAGATGGCCTTTTTGCTACATAAGAATCCACACTCTGGGATGAATGGCCTGCATCAACAATAACTTTTTTAGAAAGAGAAGTGTTTGCTGCTGCTGGTTTTATTGCTGTTTTTTCTTAGTCCTCCACAAATCTGAAAAGCAACCATAAAATCTGATCATTCTACTTGTTTTTTACACAAAGCTTGAGTCAGCTACCTGACGTGGATCGAGCAAACCGTGGCTCTAAGGGAGCTTTTTATTTACTATGGGAGCATTATAACTTTCTCTTTTACTTCTACACAGATGAAGATTTCTGGGTTTGTGTTTTCCTTTGCAAAGCTTGACTCTCTGGAATGTGCTTTTTAGGTTTAGATATTGCCCATTCTTCATTAATGTTAGGCTTTCTGTCTTTTCAGAGTGACATGTTGGATGTGAACCAGATCATTAAAGACTTGGCCTCCATGGTTCATGAGCAAGGAGATACAATAGGTAGGTATCACATTCAATTAAGGGCTTTATTACCCTCTTGCACAATTCTAATGTGATATTGTCCCTGATGAGCAGCTGTTTGTTGATGCTGTGGTTATTTTCCCTCTGTTTTGGGCATTTTGTACATCCAGAGATGTTTTGATCTGACAAACTGCCCTGTGCAATAAAGTTCTCGTGTTAAGGATAGTTTGCTGGTATATTTAGCAGAAAATAGAATTCACAGGGAGATTAATCCATTCCCTTTTGACTATAAAAAAGGAAGCTGAAGTATATATAACATTAACTGGAAAGGGATCCAATTCTTCCTTTCTATCTGCAACTGTAATTAAAAAACAATAGTAGTAGCAATTATTGTTATGATTATTGATGATGGTAGAGAAAATGAAGCAGCTTGCTTTTTCCAAATGGAACTTTCATTCCACATTGCAGTGTGTGTCTAATTAGATTTACAGAAACCTAACATCATGATGTGCTCATAGGCATAGTCTGAAGTTTCTGCCCATTAATTGACCTCCTCTTGTTCTCCAGCAACCAGTGGCTAGGAGCATGGTGGAGAAAATTGGGAAAAGAGATGAGAGTAACCCCTAATAGTATCTTTAAGAGCAGACTAGCAATGACAGCCACCACTTCTTATGAATAGAGAGATAAGACAGAGTAGATCAGCTCCCTCTGATCTTTGTCTTTGTCCCTGTTCTCTTCTGATGAAGTTTTTTTTAAAAAAAAAAAAATCAGTCTTTTTTTCTGTATCTCTTGTTTTGTGTATGGATAATACTGTGCAGTGCTTCTGATCCAAATCCCCACTTCCAAACTGGAGAGCTAATGATCCTAAAGTCTGATTGAGGGACCTGAACTCCAGAGAAGTAAGATTTGTGGGGATATTTCTTACTGAAGCATTCAGCTGGAGTTCTCACTGGTGCTCCTCGCAAGTGGATCAAGTCCTGAGACAGCCATGTGTAGATCATAAAAGAAGAAACTCTTCTCTGCTGTTTATTAATCACTCTGGATTTCTTTGCCAAACTCATATCTTTCCAAATCTCCATTAGCATAAGATATCTCCTTTCACACCAAAACAAACTAGCTGGCTCATATCTTTCCAAGTCTCCATTAGCATAAGATACCTCCTTTCACACCAAAACAAACTAGCTGCACCCCACTGAGAGACACCACTTGGGGTCACAGGGGCAGAAAAAAACCCCAGGTTTTGAGTATTTATTTTTCTTTATTTTGTTTTTTTTTTCTTTTTTATGCTACTTTGAAAGCTTATTTTTGTACATGGATAACTTTGGAGCCTGATTCATCTCTAAAAGCACATCAGATGCTAATGCCTTGAGGGACATGACAACACACATCAGCTAGCTTCAAGATCCTTGTAACTCCTTTTCTTAAGGCAATATTTATTATTTTAAGATGTTGCCCATGCATGGAAGTGACCCCAGTATTAACTTTCTTGTGAGAAACTGTTAGACTAAGTAGGACATTTTGACTTTGAGCCAGAGAAGGTTTTTGTTGCTTTTACATATCACACATTGGTGTGATATATAAATCTGCAGCAGATTTTAAATAGTTTCTTTAGGACTATCTTTTCATCCTGACAGTCAGTCAAGGTATTTTCCCAACCAATTGCTGAAGGGTCCCACTGTTTATCTTTTGACATTTGTATTACACAGAAGTAAGTGAGATTAAGAATCAGGAGGCAAAGGGAGTTGAAACCCCCACAGTGAGAATTTGATGACAAAAGACAGTTCTTAAGGCACTCATTTGATTTTTTTTAATGCATTCCTCTTACATGCATGCAATGAAAGATCTGTGTTTGCTTGTTTGGAAGACACAGGGAAAATAAAAAAAAACCAACAGGGAATGTGAGATGTGCCCCTCAGCAAAATGCTTCCAGGGCTGGAGGGTAAAACCCCTCTCTGGCTCACCTGGGCTGGGGAGAACTGTAGGAAGAGCTTGTCTGGGCTGTGGATGGCACAGACAGAACAACCCATACTTCTTGCAAAAACCTGTAAGTAGTTTTGCTAACATATGGGCCAACTCCTTAATGAACACATCGATAACACTCCCTAGGAAAGAAAGCAATTTCTGTCATGCAAGGAAGAAATGGAATGCAGACTTGGGGCAGGATATCTCTGGTGGTTTATGTCATCTACAAATAAAGTCTGTACCTACGTTCCTAGTCATGGCATCTCTTGGATACAAATATTTAATTAGGCATTACTCTATCAGTGAGTCCAAGCCCTTGAAGCCAAAACAAGCTAATAATGACCTGGGTTACTTGTGAGTCAGCAGAGTCTTTCCAACACAATGTAGCAGGAGATCTTGGCAGGGCACAGCATCCCTGTGCAGCTTCAGCATGTTGGTGAGGAGAAAGGATGTAAAGAGGAAGACACTAATAGAAGAAATCAATAATTGATTCTAGACTTGGTATGGACAACATGGTTTTGGGTTCTGTAGCCACAGGACTCTGTAGATCAGCAGCAGCTTGGGAGAGATGGGATCCACTTCAGAAGGAGAACTCTAAAGTAGGATTGATGGGGGAGGGAGGGAGTCAGCAACAGTCCTGTGAGAACAATGGACAGGATCACTGAAAAAAGGACATGGGGTGGTGTGGCAGGAAGGGTTCACAAAGTCATCAAAGTGGGCCATGGGCAGGGTCAACTCCAGCACTTGCATGTGAGAAGGGAGGTGTCTACAAGGCATCACCATCATGGATAAATAGCCTAAACCCTCTCCAGGAACTGATCATGCTATGGTGCACCTCTAAAGTGCCTGTAAGCAAATGCACACAATATGAGAAATAAACATGAGGAGTTAAAGATCTACAAGAAATTGCAGGGCTATGTTTTTGTTGGGCTCATAGAGACTTAGTGGGTTGGCCCCACATTGGAAGGATACAGGCTCTTTAGGAAGGACAGGATAAGAAGATGAAGAAGAGCTTTCCTATAAGTAAGACAGCAGGTGGAGTTTGTGGGGCTTTTCCTGGGGGTGGATGAGAAGCTGTTGGAGAATTTATGTCTCAGGATTAAAAAAAGTGCAGGCAAAGTGGATGAGGCAGTAACAGCCTCATGTTTCCTGGCTCTGGTCCTCATGGAGGATTTCAATCACCCCAGAACCTGTCAGAAGGACAACACAGCAGGGCATAAATGTTCCAGGAGGTTCTGGAATGTATTGATGACAACTCTGGGGATCTGATGTACAAATGGCAAGACTGACTAGAAGAGGTCCATCTCCAGTAAACTTTAGTGTCAGAAGGGTTCTGCACCTAAAGCATCCAAGAAAAGGATTAAAGACTTGGCATTGTGAGAAGTACATTACATTAGAGGTGATTGCTAGAGCAATGGTCACTCCTTTCCATGCTTATAGATGGTCACTCAACTGAACTGTAAGTTCCTCAAAAGTCTGAAACTTTCCCAGTATTTCAATACTGAACATCACTATTTTATATGTGCAAGCTTGTAGTGTCATTGGCTGTACTGGGATGTATAGACTTAGTTCCATGGAATCAGTTTTATAACAGGTTTTTAGGGAGAAGAGAAACCTTAAATCCACAGTTCCCCTGAAGAAAGTGTCATCACAGCTGCCAGTGTTTATATTGGTGTCCAATGAAGGCAAGTGCATATTTGTCCACTTCTGTAGGCTTCTGTTTGTCTTGTAACAGAGAATAAAGATGGCCTGAATAATGCAGTTAATGTTTTATTTTTGCCCATGGCAGGTTCTGTGTTTTAGAAGTATTGTTTTTCCATCCCACCTGTGTATGTAACCTTAATATTTATGCCAGAATAACACACAAGACTTACATTTCTTATCTAAACTGCTCTGTCTCAACTTTCACCATTTATATCATTTTTTGCAACTCCATCACATTTCTCAAAGCCATA